CAAGCTCATGTCAGCTGAAATAATGGGATGGGGCAGTTATTAATTCTCTCCCTGACATGGATGTCCAAAATAATCCAGCATATACTAACTAAAGTTTGGCACATAATTTAATTCAGTGTACAATCGTAGTGCATAATAAACTTCTTATGACCATTTGACACCATGGACAAAACTTAGTTTGGTATGCTAGCCACACAGAATGCATTTTCTGCTGTTGCTACTGAATCATATATTGCAATCCTTTACTGGTGTTGACATGCTAACAAAGCATTTATAATGCAGTTACAATAAATAAAAGCTTCCACTAGAATAAAATCACATTTAAAATTTTCAGAGAATAAAGGTTCTGTATAGGGAACGAAGCTATCTACAAATAATCCCCATGAATCAAAAGGCAAATCTGACAGAGTTCAAAGAGGACTAGAGTAGGTGGGAGCAACCTGCATAATAATAATAATAATAATAATAATAATAATAATAATAATAATAATAATAATAACTTGTAGTGGTTGAGACTGTTTCAAAAATAATTCTGGAAATATTGGCCATATATAAATACAATGCAAATCTTAGATCAGAACTAATATAGGTCAACATTTTGAGATAAGGGTTTGATTTCACATTCAGCCATTAAAACCTACTGGGTGATCTTTCGGAAGACATACACTCTCAACCCTAAAAGTCCCCATATATATTTAATGACAGGGTAACAAACACCCACGAAAGCTTCTGAGCAAAAATATCCATTGGTGAAAATCAGAGCGCTTCCACAAGTTCATCCTCTACTTAGTCTTAGGTCTTTCCCATAATCAGAGAAAATATTAGCAGAAATATCATGTTTTTTATATATGGAGATCATCGCCATATGAGTTTGATCTGTTTTGCATCCTAATAAGACATATTTTCAACAGGAGCAAAAGATGAAAGTGTGCTGATGAACATAAAATCCATGATCCATATAGAAAACAAGTTTCTACTTTTATTCATTGCTCCATGAGAAGTTGTGTGCATTAGCATGCTCCATATAATGTTGTTATTCTCAGATCAAATGGCACAGCATGTGCCAGAAAACTGATAGTGACTCTCAAAAGGAATGGAGAAAGCACTTGATTCACACTCCCCTTTACTCATGTAACATCTGGCAGGTCTACATTGTGTCTTCCCAGCAAAAACATAAATGGCAAAATTAGGAACATTTTTGAAAGCCCATTAATTGTAGGGTTGGCAAGTTTAATAATGAATCATGGAGAATTGTTCTTCCTTACTGCATAAAAATAACAAATACTTCTGAAGTTGAGATGATGTTTGAAACCACCTTATGATAAAGACCCATCTTTCTCTTAGAATAAAACCCCACTGAGGACATTCAATCCCTACTGAAACACCTACAATGGCTTTCTTCATCCTAGTCATTTTCTCCAGATTTCTCCAGATTTAAGCACAGAGATATCAAAATATATTTAAAATAATAAAATGGATGTATGTTGCTGCTTCATTTATCCATCTTCTCAGAGATGACAATTCATTTACCTCTTCTGTGGGAAAGCTGGGCTGGCTGATAAATAGTTGGCATGTGATGTCTGCTGGGACATTTTTATTACCCTGGCTCAAACCAAACTGTTCTTTTCTTCATACACTCCTGGCATGTCAAATAAGTAGCGTAGGTGGTTCTTTCCTTGAGGCCACAACCATTTTGTTTGCCTTACATTGGTTCTATTTTCATTCTAATCTGTTTCCAAGATGCTTAATGTGTATCCTAAGTGGTATTCCATAAAGCGGGTCTGCAGCTAGTCATTCAATGTTTTAACACTTGCTTGTTTCCCAATCTGCACAGGTGTCTGACAGCTTGAGAAGCCATTTGCCCAAAATAGACAAAAATTATTAAAGAGTCTAACTAAACAGCAGCATTTTTTGCAAGTGTGGAGATCCTTGCTATCAAAAAGATGAGATATCTGGAGACAAACTGCAGATGGCATTGGCTCCAATTCCCAACTCAGACAGCAAGTCCAGTGATTAGATATGATGGGAATTGTAGTCTACCAACATCTGTAGGGACATGTTTTTTCACCTCTGCTTCACACATCTTTTCTGAGATATGTGTCCACAGAGATAGCTCTGAAACCAAGATACAGTACTGGAAAGCATTTACTTCCCCTCTCCATAAAAATAACAGGGTACACAAGATTATATCCCTGGCTGGGACTTGCTCTAATCTGAGTAGTATTTCTCAGATGTAAGGCAATTTTACCACATCCAACAGATACATTAAATGCACTGTCATTTCTACAAATATACATAACTGCAAGCACAAAACATAAAAGCCACAAGACTAATGATGTATTCTTTTGGTCCCAGCTGTGCAAACATTCTTCTTCTCTGCATGTGCATGTGTGAGGAGTTGTGTAAAATTTGCCCAAAATAATATGTTTAATTTTGGAACAGCAAATTGGCTCAATTTGGATTAAACTAAGTCTTAATTGACATCCATGACTCACAGGAAGAAAGTGCTACTCAGGGGTCAACATGTATGCCAAAAATTTAAATCAGCTGTGAGCAGAATGTGTTTATAAATAGCACACCAGTCATTCAAGAACGTGAATTGCCTCCAGTTCAAAAGAGTGAGGCTACTTCAACCCACTGATTCCAGAAGATATCTGGGTTCTTATTCTCATATTATGGTCTTGACTGTAAAATGTGCTAATGTACTTTCATTTGTGCTTCTTAAAACACTCATAAATTTTAACCAGGTTTGAATTTGTTGACTTAAACATGTGAACTAGCCTCTTTCAATATTTTTACACAGATGGACCCCTTCAAATAATTTTCAGGTCTAAGGAAACAATCTCAAAAACGTTTTCTCTCTCCCAATTACAATCTCTTGTGAAATCCAACATCACCTCTAGAATTCCAAGGAACCTTGGTTGAGAAATCCTGGTATATATCTTCAGAAGTCATTGTCCTGCATAAAGATGCACGCTATTCTTAAAGACAGTAGTTTTTCTTCTGGGTCTTTAGCACCATTAAAAATATTTTTCACTCTATGTGATATATTCTTGAAAGCATGGTGCAGTAATTTCAAGAATAACTCTGGAGACCAGGGTTTGATTCCTCATCATGTATGAAAACACACTGGGTGACCTGGACGAGTCACACTTTCAGCCCCAGAAAGCTCAATGATAGCATCACATTAAGGTCAATGAAAGTCTGAATAAACTTGAAGACACATCACAGCAACAAACATATTCTTAGATTCATCCTTGAGGAAGATGCTTACAAAAGGTTGCAGTCGTGTTACACCAGACATAGACAGTCGGACTCAGATTGGTGCTTCGCAGTCTTCTGCTTATACTAGAAGAAAAAGTTGAAGAAGGGGCCTTCAGGATTCAAGAAAAATAAATGAAGTCCTAGGAAAAACTCCAACCTCCAACCCACTCTTGTCAGGAAGACATCTCTACTGAATCTTTATATCTTCCGTGAATCTAAACCAGCACTGATTGCACAAGGGGAACAGTATCTGTGCCTCATGATGCCGGTGGCCCGTCTACCCAAACTTTCCTGCCAGGAAGGACTGATCTGGCAAAGAGGTACCAAGGAACACATTTATCGGTTCTCCTCATTTAGGCTATTCTGTTTTTGAATTCACAAACCCCTTGTAGAACAGATGAGAACAGAAGCTGAAGCAGGTGTGGGGATAAAATCAGGGCATTGTACTGTCTTCTGCCTTCCATGACATATTTCCTTAATCCCCAAAATTCTAGCACTGGAGTAATTTAGCATTTCATTAAGTATTTAGAAATACAGTTTAGGTACCCAAAGAAAAGGGGCAGGGGAGAGTAGTGTAGATACCCTGAAGTTATGAGATCCTGTTTGAACTTAGAAATAAGCAGGGTCAGGTCTGGTCGGTACTTGGATGGGAGACTGCCAGTGAATACCAGGTGCTCCAGACTATATTTCAGAGTATGGAATAGGCTTACCATCTTTTAGTATTCCTTGCCTAAGAAGACCCTATGAAATTGATTCAGCCACTATAGGATGACAGGCAACGTTAAGGCACACATACACAATTACTAAGATAATGTAAACCCAGAAAACAGCAGAGTTCGAGGTATGTACGATCTTCAGTGACTCATTCTCTGTGATACTAGAGATTTGGAAACTGTAGAAAAGTTTGTTTGCCTCCTGTAGCATGGAATATTCTGATACAGGCAGTCCCCAAGTTACAAACATCCTACTTACAAATGAGTCATAGTTACAAACCAGGGTGAGACAACAAGAAGTGAGAGAAATCTACCCCTTGGAAGGGGATTTAACTCCTGAAAGAGTTATCATGGGCAGGCATGTAGCGGGGGGGGGGGGGGGGTTGAGGGGCTTTAGCCCCCCCCCCCCCGAAATTCTCATGGTGGTTCACGAAAAGGCTTACTGGTGCATTATTTAAACTGTTATGTTTATTCATATCATGATCTGATCACCATACTCAATATATCCCATATGCATGGGGGTATTGGGGTAATGATACAAAAGGTTTGCTAGGCTAGACCCTCTTTCACTCAGACTCAGCCCCCCCCGAAACTCAGCCCCCCAAACCCCCCCTGAAAATTTTTAGCCCCCCCCCCCACGAAACGAAATCCTGGCTACGGGCCTGATCATGGGGAAAGGTATCTCCACTGAAACTTAATTGCCAATCCTTGTTTCCACAACAAGCCAAATGTTTCAAAATCACAGAGACAGAAAGTGAGGTGAAATCTTCTGAACAAGGTCGCAGACAGCAAAATGAACGCCATAGGGGTATTAAACCTTCCCTATACTATCCAAAGCAAATACATATATTTGGTTGGAGTTACACTTTAAAAAGTGCCTGTTCTGACTTACATACAAATTCAAATTAAGACAAAACCTACAGAACCTTATTCATACTTTGGGGGCTGCCTGTACAGCCCTTTGTCTACTATAGCCCTATTAAACGGTGCTTCTGGAGTCGCAATTAGGCACGTAAATCCTGGTTTAATTTCTCAGGTCCATTTTTATTTCTGAATGATCACATTCTAAACTGTACATGCACAACATTTTATATACAAACTACATCATATGTGAACAATGTTGCATTTTTAAAGCTCACCATGTCCTTCTTTTTTCATCCTCTATACATTTGTTTCGAAATCTGTCCCTCTGAGTTCAATGTAATCATTTATCTACAAACAAGTGCTAGGGCTGTTAGATCTTTGCAGGAAGACAGAAAAGGCTTTGTACCAAATTGTGCATTTGCTCACAATGTTCCTTTTATGCCATTTCTTCTGAGAGGTTGGGAGTTACAGGTTAATGTTCCATACTTGCCCATCAAGTCAAGGGTTTTTTAAAAAACTCTAATTAAACGGTTTTTTAAATATGTACTTTAGCCAGGGGCACAACTCTTCAAATTCAACTCTGATTAGGGACTATGACATACCAGATTCAGCCCTTTTGAACGTGGTTGATTCAGCACGCACACTAAGTTTTAAACAAACCTTTAAAGACAAGCAAAGTACAAGCTAGAAACAAAAAGAATACCCTGATTCCAAAGCACTTTGTATTTCCTCAGTTGGTAGATTATGTAAGCTTTATCTGCAATTTTAGTTTCACACAAGCATGCCATTTGTAGGAGTTTGCCTCCTGTGAGTTTAACAGCAGCAGACATGAGATGGAGTGAGAAGTAGTAAATATGGGACAACCTGACAAAATAATATAACAACTCAAAACCTCTCTCTGATGTACTGTCAACAGGCAAGGATTTGCACCATGGAGTTCCCCAACCAGCATTTTAAACTGGGACAATCTTGAGAAATCTGTAGAGCATATGCAAGTGTGAATGTACAGTTATGTATACCATAACTGGCTAAATGTGAAACTGCACTTTTGAAAATGTTATAAAATCTCTATCCAAACAGGGCGACAATCAACATGAAAGCACCATGGGGATCTTCAGGTCAGTCAGTCCTGCAGATATGTTTTCATCACATGGAAATACATCAATGTGATTAGCTACTAGGCATGGGCAATCCGTGGTTCTAAATGGTTCTAAAGTACTTACAAAACTAGATGGCGCTGGTGCTTTGCTTCTAAAGTGTTGCTAAAGCCGGTGCTTTGCTTCTAAAGTGTTGCTAAAGTTCTGGTGGTGGAATTTCAGAACTCTATCAAAACTTTCAAAATTTCATTATTATTTCATTATTGGTGATTTTTACAACAGAACCAATTAGGAACTGTTATTTATAATGACAGTGGCATGAGCTTCTGCTGTCAGCCCCGGTTTCTGCCAACCTAGCAGTTCGGAAACATCCAAATGTGAGTAGATCAATAGGTACCACTCTGGCGGGAATGTAACGGCACTCCATGCAATCATGCCGGCCACATGACCTTGGAGGTGTCTAAGGACAACACCAGCTCTTCGGCTTAGAAATGGAGGTGAGCACCACATCCCAGAGTCAGACACGGCTGGACTGAATGCCAGGGGGAAACCTTTACCTTTACCCTTTTATTTATAATGAAATTTTGAAAGTTTTGTTAGAGTTCTGAAATTTTCACCACCAGAACTTTAGCAGCACTTTAGAAGCAAAGCACCAGCACCCTCTAGTTTTATAAGTACTTTAGAACCATAGATTGCACATGACTTTAGCTACACTGTCCCAACAAAGTACAAGCCATGTAACTGTCTAGTGAAAAATTAATGGCATCACATATTCATTTTACAATGATATCACCACTGTTCTTATGATGGCCTGGCTGGAACCACAGTGAAAATGAAGGCATTTCTAGTCTTGCTCTTTTAGAAATTGCAAATGAAATGATAATTTATATTTCCTGCTTGTTTCAGATTTTAAAGTAGTTTTGGAAGATTTCCAGTTTAAACAGCCAAAGTTGCACCTGACCGCTTCTCCTTTTCTTGAAGAAGAATTGTGTTCAATTTATTATTAAATGAGTTGATCCCACATAAATACTAATGTACTATGTTTATCTTAAAACAGTGTCAAACCAAACTGGATGTTTGTTTTGGAGATGCACTTTTCTTACATTTAGGAACCCCTTTCCTGCACCAATAACTAAATACTTAATTTTATGTTCCTGCGTCTGAGCAGATCCAAATTCTTAGACAGGAGCGCAGCTTACAAGAACACCTTAGATATCCTCTGTAGGCCAATCCCTTCTCTAAATGGTCAAATGATATTCACAGTGTTGAGGTAGACTAAGGAGAGAAACAGAGTTAAATAAAGGGGACAGATAGAACATGTTATTTTAAAAATGATCTTGTATTTTCCTTGTATTTCACACAGTTTATTGCATCAGGCAACCTGTATTCGGAAGAAATTCCTGCAGGTAACCTGCCACTGCTTTTGTTAGGTAAGTCATTGTCCCATAAGCACCACTTGGGGCACTGTCATAGAAGAAATAGCAGATTCCTGTACCCTGGTCTTGCTCCAAGTAGCCTTCAGTTGCTCCAAGGGCCTTCTAGAAGAGAAAGAAGGCAGAGGGATTAAGATAAATCAATCCTTAACAAGTTAAGCTTGGACAAACAATGCAAAGCATTGCCCCACAGAACATGGCTCAACCCTGCCTGCCTTCCAACTCAACAGTGGATTGTCAGCATGGCCTATGGTTCACAGGCGTTTTGGTCTAATGAGTCAGCTGGGTTGACCATCAACAACCATGGGCTTCTCTAGTTCTGAAAGCCTGAAAATACCACCCAGTAATTAGGACAACATTTCTTATGGTTCCTCCAGATCATCTAGCTAAAGGGGTGACTCCACTGAACATATTCTGGGCTGCCTCCCTCCCTCCCTGACATATTGGCCCTTGCTTCATATCTATGGACTGCTCTGACTCTAGCTTGCCTCAACTTTGTTTTTGATAATATCACTAGCAATTCATACAACACTGAAGCAGGCACATCTGCAGTATGAATCGATATATCGTTCTGCATGCTGGTCATGATACAGCCTCAAAACTTCAGTAGTCAGAATTTGAACTGTGGAAATGCCTGAGATTTTTTCCCCACAGAATATGATAGCAGACATCTGGCTTCCTCTCTTTTTCTCAGACAGCAGCTAAAGCAGAACAAATGACGGTTTCTACCATGGCCATGTAAACCTGCCTGTAGAATTATAATACAATAACCATTGAAGGGGCTTGTATGTTCAGAGTCAAACCTAATTGTACTTAGCATAAAATCAGGGCTGCTAAGCTACCAGTGGTCAATTCATCCCTTATAACTTTAGGCTACAACAAGACCAGAATGCCAGAAATATCATCACCACATGGACATATGGAGACATAAGGCAGTCCCTGTAGTGTAGACTGTGAGTGCTGTATCTTTTACCACATTTTGAATGTGTTTTCAAATGTTTCATATGATTGTTTTCAACAGATTTGCATTTTTTTGTTTTTTACACTATGTCTTTTAAGCTGCCTCAGGTCCTGTATTGGGAGTAAAGCAAGATAGAGAGAAAGAGACAGACAGACAAGAGAGAATGCTTTAAGGGTGTGCATTAACTATTTTTTCAACTGTACAGCTATCTTAAGTTATTCCATTAAAAGTTGGTACAATTAGGCATCTGTCCAAATGTCCATTACTGAGCTTCCTGACATTACCTTTGAGAGAATGAGCAGCAACAAGGAGAAGGAAAACCAGCTCCTGCTCATGCAGACTGGGCCCAAGAGGACAAGCAAACGAACTCCCAACACCAGGAGAATGAGCTGGAACTGCTTGAGGCACTGGGATCACCTAACAACAGATTCTCCACTAGCCATTGGAAACCTAGAGCCAACACTGTCAAGAATTTAGATAACAGAAGAAAAAAAAAACCCTCAAAATATACAAACCTGTTCCTGAAGGAAGAGATCGTTGGCTATGTGCACAATCCGATCCACATGAATTATGCTCCCAATGCTGTTCACCTCAATTTCTGACATCAGAGTCAGAACAAGGATGGCCTCCACTAGTAGTTGCCTGTATTCTGGCTGAGGAACGTGGTTCAGTACTGATTCCACGTGGACAGCAAATTTGATTTCACAAGCAGTCATCTGGAAGTACATAGTGGAAATCATACCAAGGAGAAGAAAAAGAGGCAAGTTTGAGAGCATTATAAACTCATTGTAACAACCATTGGCATGTAGTCAATGCTATGACACCACTTGAAGTCCAAGTTAAATGCTGAACTGTTCCGTGAATGGTTTAATACAGAAAGAGGCTCCAAAGCAAAGAAGTTCAAACACTATGAACTGTTTCCTCATAAAGGCAGGTTTATATTGATAGTGTCCTAGGATCCAATCTACAAGAATATCAGCAGGTTTCTGGAAAAATCCACCCATGCAGAGCATCCTAAATCCACATTTCAAATACATAAGAAATATAAAGATTTTTCTGGGACAATATACTATATGTGGATTCTGATCCGTTATTACCATTGCTGAATTCATTTACTTTTAGAAAACAGAGTATAAATATTAGAGTTTGGAAAAGTCATATTTTCAACTACCACTTACAGAATCTCCCAGTGTGCAGCGTCTTTTGTTTACAAATGCTGACAGATTCATAAACAATTACAAAACTAATAGATTGCACAAAGTGTTCATTGTCATAGGTTTTAGGCCTTAAGACACTCATTTTTTTTAAAAAAAGTACATTTCAGCAAAATCAAACAAAACATTAAAATAGAATTAAAGCACTGTTAGAATTAGAAACATTTTTCTTTTATGTAATCGTAAATCTACTCAATAAAAATTATTATTAAAAAAAGAATTAGAAACATTTAAAATAACCACAAAACAATAACAAAAATATATATGAAAAAATTATGAAAAAACTATTTATTCAAAGTTTTGATTGGGTAGATGTAAACACGAGAACAAAAAAAAAGCAGAGGTTTTTTTTAATGACCATTGGCTAAGACAGATATGGGAGACATAACTCCCAAAGTACAGTTTTCATCAAAGCAGCAAGGAAAGCCAAGCAGGCTAATTTGTTCTGGCAAAAATGCTCAGATGTCACATGAAATCATTTGATCTCAGGGGATCTTGTGCTTATTAAATTTGATTCCTATTAAGCAGCAAAATTAGATACTGCCAAGTTGTGACATACCTGTTAAAAGGTGTCAGATTCTTCTAAATCTCTCTTGAAAGTGAAATAATTCATCTTCTCCACACAAATGACATTATGAATCCCCCCTAATCTCCCCCCCCCCCAAAAAAAAAGATGCCTGGGCACATTTTGTGCCTTAGGGCTGACACTTTCAATAACAACAATATTAATTTCAGAAGAAAGTATGTACATATTCAATTTCCAATGGAGTGGCCGGGGTGTGCGTGTGCCAATGTCTAGAGAAGATTCAGCCTTGAAAGTTGATAGGTGACCATGAGCGATAATCCTTTCACTGTAGACTACTTTACACTGTGTACTACTTTATGTAGTGCACTTTATGTAGTTATTGTTAAGGTTAAGATGGGCGTGTTAGCCAGAACAATATATGGACATGATAGAAAAGCTGTGGACTTCACCTGACAGAAACCACAGCCTTAATGGTAAGAGGAAGCCAAAGAACCACCCCTGTACCAGATATGCAGTATTCTTAATAAACTTTCGCATTAGAACGAGAAAAAACACATTTTCCCCAATTCAGTACAACCCCTGGTATCCATGAGACCTGATCCATGGTTTCACGTATCTAATTCCAACAAAAAAGGTCTCTCTAAGCATTTTCTAGGTTCTCTAGAGTGCTGCTTTTTAAATTGTGGGTCCCAAAATTGTTGGTCGCTTTATCTCAGTGTTGGGGTCCCAAAGAATTTGGAAACTGAAAAAGTTTTCTGAATATCCCCTAGTGGTTGTTTCAGATATTAACACAAATCTGGTGTGCAGTGTTTACAGTAGACACTGCAGAAAATGCTTCAGCTGTACTTCATAAAAAGGAAAATCAGCCTGTTAGCAAACTTTGCAAATGCTAATTTGTTATCCGTAAACATTTTATTTTATACCTGTTTTATATATCTATACATCTGGGATCAAGTAAACATTTCTTAGGCTGAAAAGATTTGCAAGTGAAGAAGTTTAAGTAGCCCTGCTCGAGTGCATCTCTATGGTATTCTTTGGCTAGAAGTCCTTCATTTCAGTAGGATTTGCTTTTATCCACACAAAGTTTGGAAACATAATATCCCCTGGATACAGAGCTCAAATTGTATATTTATTTAGGAATAGGGTTCTGTCCTTACAATTATTACCACAGATAAAAATCATTACATAACCATGAAAGCCAATGCTCAGTATATTTTGTCTTCTCCGTTCTCACATTATCTTTGTGACATGGAGCAAATGTAGGCCTAAACCAAATGTTAGCTCTAATTGGATCTGTCAATTAAATCTGTCAATTTACACAAGCATTAATTTATAATTCAGCAAATGATTCAATATGTATGTGGTACTAGCAATTGCATTTAGACCCAACGTTCTGGATCATGAATATATGCTGAGAGTTATAGCCATGTACAATTCCATAAGTTTAACCAATAATTCAAATATAATGATAGTGAGGTCGGACTATATGGTATAGTCCTTTCATGACACAGGATGTACACCCACACCCACACACACACACACACACACACACACACACACACAATATTCCCTAAAGAAACCCTAAAACAGACTGATGTTTTAAGACTATAGTAGTTAATAAATATGTTTCCATTTTTCAACACTGACAAAATTTGAAATAAATAAACTTACCTCTAAAATTAGAATAACCTATTAACCCATAATTACAAAAACTTGACAGATGCAGAGCTCTTACTGTATCAATTACATTTTACTAGCAATACATTTCCCTTCTTTTCACTGCAGCTAAGAAACAGCAGACAATTGAGACCCAATTGTAAAGGGCTGCTTGATACCTTGCCACAAAAACTGAACCACTGCCTGAATCAAAGGCTCAGGGTTTAAACACAAAATATAATACACCTGCAAGTAAGGAATGCTATTGTAAGAACTGGAAAATGCAACAGTATATAAAGCATTGGTCTGTTAAATTTTGAAAAGAAAAACAGTTGCAAGAATGATAATTCTTAGGGGGCTTTGAAGTTAAATCATGGTCGGAAATGGAAAAAGCTTGGAATAATAAAACCTTTGGAAGTCAGGTGTGCTAATATATACTGTATAAGGCAAATGTTATTCAGCTTGTAACATAAAAGAAAAACAACAACACATAATTGTATATAAGGAAGGTACAAAACATACAAAATCGATTAAAAGCACAGGTTTTTCAAAGGCTGAACTCCTATACATATTTATATAAGAACAATTTCAAAGCAAAGCTATCTATCTATTTATCTATATCAGGCATGGGCAAACTTGGGCCCTCCAGGTGTTTTGGACTTCAACTCCCACAATTTGTAACAACCTACCGGCTGTTAGGAATTGTAGGAGTTGAAGTCCAAAACACCTAGAGGGCCCAAGTTTGCCCATACCTGATCTATGTATGTATGTTATGTGTAATACACACACAGAGAGAGACACATACATATACATATATAGTTGGGCTATAATATTTATTTGTATAATATCACCTCGCTATCCTGTCTCTAGAGAAGAGTGTACTGTTGTCCCAAAGCCTGCATTTTATTTCAGCGCAAATTGGCTCAAATAAAATAGAGACTGAATACTCTACCGTCAATTAAGGAAAAAATGACCCCTTTCCTAAATGATTACATATGTCTGTCCTCTTCCCTGGTTTCCAGCCATTTCCTTCCAATGTATCTCATGCTTTGCCACTGGACATAAATAAATGATGTTTCACAAACAAAGCGTTAAGTGCTAAGAATAACTTTTGAGGCTGAGGAGACAAATCAAGTTTCCAAGTAAGCTTCAAATCTCCTGAACCCAAATCCTACAAAAATCCCATCAAGACTTACCTCCCTTGTTGTTGAAGAAGGAAGGACATAGCCATCGATGGACAGACCGTGACACTGTAACAGGAACAGTATTAAGAGTATCGTAAGTAAAATGAATTCAAGGAACTAGTTTAATCAGAATTGTTGGCCTAAGTATGATCTATTTGGAATTGCTTTGTGAAATATATCAGATTGAAAGCAAAATTCAATATAACATATGTTTCTCCTCGCTAAAGATTCACAGCAATGGTACATAATAATAATAATAATAATAATAATAATAATAATAATAATAATAATAATAAATCTTTATTTATATCCCACTTTTCTCCCTAATAGGACCCAAAGCAGCTCACAATATAATACAATACAAATCAAAGCACATTTAACATAAAATACAAGACAAAAATCACACAAACCATAATAATGCCCAGAAAAAAATATATAAATAAATATTAAAAATTAAAACTTTTTAAATCAATTATAATTATTGTGGAGACTCATCAATTAAATAGTATATTTTGCTAAGCTCAGTGCAAATTGGCCTTGCCATTATTAGCAACTGAATTCATTCATCAAAAGCTTGCTTGAACAGGTAGGTCTTCAACTGATTCTTGAAAGATAACAGGGAAGTATTCCAGGTGTTTGGGACTCCAGCTCTCAAAATACCTATACAGCTTGTCCAATGGACAGGAATTCTGGGAACTTACGTCCAAAATACCTGAAGGTTGTGTAACCACTGCTTTATAGAGTAAGAACAAGAAAAATTGCGCATTTTTCTGTGTTCCAGAACACAAGAGATGCTGAGTCAAATATTTGCATTGATCACTTTTCATACTGGCTTTTATACTGTTAGCCAATATGGGCTTTGAATGTTTTCAATAAATAAATGCTTAAGTAGACAAATTCAACAGATGTTTTAAAAATGACATTTTCTGTGTATACTTAGGAAGAAGGGAGGCTGGGAGAATACACCTACTAACAAGAACACAAGTTCTATTTAAAAATTAAATTTATTTCCAAACAACCTATTTCTAGAATAAGTATTGGCACGTAACCCAATGCAAAAAAGCACCCAGCCAAAAATAATGAAACCTCCTGGCCATATGCACAGACACAGGAGATTGGGCACACTTCCCATCCATGCTGTCCTTTAAGAAAGTAAAAAATATCTATTTCATTTGCCAGTCCTGGGTGAGAAGTGGAATATCTGAACAGAATACTCTTTTTGGCTTTTATTTGTTTGTTTGTTTGTTTGTTTGTTTGTTTAGAGCATTTCTATCCCATCCTTCTCGCCTCCGAAGAGGGATTCAGGACAGCTACCAGCACAAAATACATTTAACCTACATTAAAAACAGTTATAAATACATTAAAATAATTTGCAATTGCATGTCATCCTCCAAGTCAATCCATCTTCAATCCACCGCCATCAACTAAAACAATCCATTTAAACCATCTATTCTGCGAACGCTTGATCCCATGACCAGGGTTTGAGCTTTTTCCGGAAGGTCATGAGTGAGGGGGCAGATCTAATCTCATTATGGTGGGTGTTCCACAACCGAGGGGCCACCACCGAGAAGGCCCTGTATCTTGTTCCTACCAAACATGATTGTGATGGTGGCAGGACCAAGAACAGGGTCTCTCCAGAAGATCTTAAGGTCCATTGGGATTCGTAGAGGGAAATACATTCAGACAGGTAAGCTGGGCCAGAGCCATTTAGGGTTTATAGGTCAAGGCCAGCACTTTGAATTGTTCTCGGAAGCGAAATATTTCACAATAATCTTTTAGTACTTTCTAATCAGGATGCTTAGATTGGACTTAAGAGAGGACACATTCAACTGTATTGGATAACATACAACGTTTTCTGCTTTCGATTGGTCCTAATTTACCTTCTGAAGGATCTTCCAGACTTTTGGGTAGAAACCCACAGGGACTCTGTTAATGGCACCATCCAGACGCCTCCTGCGAAGCCACTGTCCTTGTCGGTCGCCCCAACTGATATTGTGTCCGCCTGAACCTGTGAGGGACGAGGTGCTAGTAGGAGAAGATGGGCTACTGCATCTCTGGGGAGGAAAACAAGTCTTATTCAGCAAGATGTAAGCAAGCCCAAATCTCAGAAACATGCATTTTCACCCCCAACAGAAAACATTACTTGAGGGAAAGAGAGCTGATGGGGAGCATGTTAACTCTACTACATCTGTGCTTCTTCTACTTTTGGTTCACAAAGCTGCTTGTTCTTGCGAGGTGTGGGAGAGCACGTCAGATTCTTTTCACCCTTTTGTTGGCAATGTTAGCAACTAATGCTGCACTTCCAATAGTGTGCTCCACCAAATGCTGCGACTGAAAACCCCATTGAAAACAGCTTTACTGTATTGGTTGTGGAAGTTGTTGCATGCTTTCAAGATTTTTCGAGCTTATGGCAACCCTAAAACAAACCTATCACAAGCTTTTATTGGCAAGATTTGTTCAAGATGGGTTTGCTTTTGAGCCTGAGAATATATGACTTGCCCAAAGCCATTCCAGTAGGTTTCTAGAACCAGCTGGGGACCCTGGTGTCCTGAGCCATAGTACAAGGCACAAAACACTATAGTCTGTTGGCCCTTTACTGTATTAATGGCAATAAATTTCACAGCCCAACCAAACAAAAATTATTGGTGACTTGGTTTTTAGGCCTGACATAATTAGAAAAATCATACATATATATTTATAAAATACTATAATTCTAGTAGCTGGCACAGCAGATTAAACCACTGAGTTGCTGAACTCACTGACCAAAAGGTGGGCAGTTTGAATCCAGGGAGCAGGGTGAGCTCCCGCTGTTAGCCCCAGCTTCTGCCAATCTAGCAGTTCAAAAACATGCAAATGTGAGGAGAGCAATAGGTACCGTCTCGGTGAGAAGGTAACGGCGCTCCATGCAGTCATGCCGGCCACATGACCTTGGAGGTGTCTATGGACAATGCCAGCTCTTTGGCTTAGAAATGGAGATGAGCACCAAACTCCAGAGTCGGACTAGACTTAATGTCAAGGGGAAACCTTTACCCTTTTTATAATTCTATATTAAAAATTGACAATATTATGCTTTAAAATATGAAAAATAACAACTTGATATCTTGGATACACTGAAGTCGTGCTGGCTAGGGATTCACAAGTTGAAGTTACCCTCCATTCCTAGGTTTATCTCTGTTGTTGTTTAACATTATGGATTTTTCCAAATTGATTTTTGACTGTAAGATGAGTTATACTTACAGTGAGATCTGTACACATTTTGTGGCTGAAAACAGCTATATGCCTTGAAAATGAAGGATCAAAACTGTCCTCCTGTTATGAGCAATTCATTCCATATTATTGCATTGATCAGGTATCCATTGCTAGATAAGTAGGGGCCAATCAAAAACCTGATTTATTAACATAATTTAATTTTAGTAGAAACTGAACTAGCTACCGATACATGGACTCTGCAACATTTCTTATGATTATATACAACAGCAACCTGAATTATTTCCTCCCTATTCTACATGCCACAACTCAGACACAATTGTCCTACCATTTAAATGCAGTTTATCTTACAATAATCATGGTGGCGTATTTTGAAAAGTAACAATATAATCCTCCATATGTTTCAACTCAAATATATGCTACTATTTTTAAATAGATTTGAAGAACTAGAACACAGAATCCAGTACTTCTTGCTGTTTGAATTTGCCAAATAAAAATATATGGAAGGTTAGCAGTTTAATTTTGGACAGCTCACCTACCATGGGTTTTTGTATTACTGTAAGGTACTTGTCTTTTATTTAGAACTGCAGCCTAGCTCATTAAACTACTCATTAACTGGGTTCCACATTCATTAACGCCCATGGATTCAGTTAATCCCCTCCTTAATCCTACAGAATCTGAGCCTCATAGAAGGGTTTATTAATGAATCATACCAGCTTTAAGAAATCCCATAGGAGTTAATTTAAATATAAATATACTTAGATATTCCAAATGTAGATTACAGATAAAATAGCCAAACATCCTCAAAAGTTACACTTTAAATGTTTAAAATTATGCTGCTAGTTTATGGAGCCTTTGGAATATAGCTTTGCTTATAAAACACTTGAAATCCTTAGGAACATAGGTTGCATGGCCATAGGTTGCCCGATGGAGCAATGGGTTAAATCCTTGTGCTGGCAGGACTGCTGATGAAAAGGTCGGTGGTTTGAATCCGGGGAGCAGGGTGAGCTCCCATCTGTCAACTCCAGCTTCTCATGTGAGGACATGAGAGAAGCCTACCACAGGGTGGTAAAACATCCAGGCATCCCCTGGGCAACATCCTTGCAGACGGCCAATTCTCTCACACCAGAAACGACTTGCAGTTTCTCAAGTCACTCCTGATGCAAAAAATAAATGCCATTGTGGTCCCATCCCGAAGCTTTAAGATTTTACAATGTACTTGGAAATTGTAACTTTCAAGTCTTAAATAGCTCAGGTGAAAGGATAGTCTCCTCCCATACTAGCCTGCCCATTCCTTAAAATATAATGGAGAAGGCGGCCAAAATGTTCCAGGCTAAGACTATTCACCATGAAGTCAGCCGGTCTTTCATAATCATTCTGTCAATGAGCAAGAAATTTGGCATGCATTCGGTGCCTGTTTACTTTTATGCTTCCTGCCACGACCACATATCAGTCCATTGTAAAATGTATGCTGCATTTCTGTGTCCAGACAGAGCATTGAGTGGGAATTAGATTGGATTAAGGTAGCTCTCTTCCTTCTGGTTGTTTTCCAAAAGCAAACCAATTTGGAATCTGTAAACATCTTTTGAAATATCTCAAATGGGTCAAGGCTTATTTATTTATACAGACAAACAGGAGACTGCAAAATCCTTCAAAATCTGAATGACAGGCCTGACTGAATTTCCATTAAATGGAACATAAGAAGGGGAGGGAAAGAATTTCCCCTCTCTGTATTAAAATAGAAGAGTCTGGGCTGTTGTCTGAATTCGGGGCTATCCGCTATAGCAGAAGCGGCATGTGACCATGCTATGGTTCAGCAGAAGAGCCCATGCCAATGCAATTAGTGCATCTCAGCTGTGAGGCTCTGTTGTCTGTGCCTACAAAGATAACATGCCCTCTGCTAATAAATCATTGCAAATGAATTATAGGTCCTGATAATGAGTGTGTAGAGCTCTTCAACACATCCATTTAAGAGGGGAATGTAGCCTAATTTAGAGTGAAAAGAAATGCATGTTTTTAGAAAGGCTTTTCAGAGGGCACTCTTTTGTTCACATTCCTATTCAAGCAGGCTTTTAACATGTAAGCAGGTGAGCTTTTCATGGAGACATTTTATTTATTGGGTTGTTTGGTCATGTTCCAGAAGCATTCTCTCCTGACCTTCTGCCCACATCTATAGCAGGCATCCTCAGAGCTTGTGAGGTTTGTTGGAAACTAGGCAAGTGAGGTTTATATATCTGAGGAATGAGGAGGGTGGGAGAACGAACTGTGTCTGCTGGAGGCAGGTGTGAATGTTGTAACTGGCCACCTTGATTAGCATTTAATGGCCTTGTAGCTTCGAAGCCTGGCTGGTTGCTGCCTGGGTGATCCTTTGTTGGGAAATGTTAGCTGGCCCTGATTTATTCTTGTCTGGAATTCCCCTGTTTTCTGATGTTGCTCTTTATTTACTGTTCTGATTTTAGAGGGTTTTTTTTTAAAAAAAATACCGGTAGCCAGATTTTGTTCATTTTCATGGTTTCCTCCTTTCTGTTGAAATTATCCACATGCTTGTGAAGTCTGACATAGTAGTAGTTAGAGTCGTCCAGCCTTTGACAACACAATTTACTTTTATATTGTTGCAATTGTTTTGGAAGCTGCCTTGGGTCCCACTCTGGGAGAATTGCAACATATATACAAATACTTTAAAATAAGTATCTACAGTGACACTAAGTTTTTGCCTTCTGTTTTGCCCTTGTCCCCTTAGATATATATTTTTGGAAGATCTACATTTTCAATTTAGGGCTAATGTTTAAATTTTGATTGGCTTTTCCGTTTTAGTTTTTGTTTTCAGTTTTGCATTTCAACATGTCTTTACCTTACTCCTCTGACCACCAAAATTTTAAGTAGTTTAATAAACAAATAAAATCCTACATTTAGTTCATAGGTTTCTGAACATATCACAAATGGATTCAAATGGATAAAAAAGGGGGTAGAATAATTCTAGAGTTTTCCAGTAAATCAGAATACCTTTATAGTAGACATTTGCATGTAATTATTTCAATACACGAGAAAGGAAGAAAATGAACATTGCTATACAGTTTATCCCTACAAAGAGGAGAAAAATATAACTTTCTTAATGATGGATTACCATGGACCTGGAAGAGTGCAAGCTGCTGGATGTGGAATGGCCCCCATAGAAGAACTACGAAACAGAAATACATAACAATGGCAAAAACTCAGTGAAATCAAAACAACACGGAAGCCATGTAAAATGATGTATGCATGAAAAATAAACACACAAATATCCCCAAGCCCTCCTTTGTCGAAACCTGCTATGAAGGTACATTGCCTTAATATCCCTGGGATCAGAATAATCATTGACTTTTTATCATTCCCCTCAGGGAGATGGAGTGGTATATAAATAAAGGATTATTATTATTATTATTATTAATTGTTACCATTCAAAAATTTGTGCCTAAATGCATAATATCCTAGGCACCTTCAAAATTTGCAACGGTTCCAGATTGGGTATTAAATATGATTGCTTGGAAATCTGGTCTTCAATTAGCAGGAAGCAATGAAGGAAACAGAAATACAGTCCTCAGCACACAAAGCATGTTTGGGCTTCTGTAAGATGCAATGGGTATCTCAGCTTCTTTTCATGCTAGGAAGCTGCATGCAAAAGCCAAGCAAATGAAGGAGTGATATGTTCAGGTAACAAGGCAATATTCAGACATTATGAAGAATTATTTTCAAGCCTGAATGATACCTAAATGGATTTTGAAATTAATTTTTAAAATTACAGGGAATTATCTACTGGCATTTACAAATTAAATTAGGTTGACATTAAATGAACAAACTGGATCCAAAGCAAAACACTGTTATGTGTCTTGCTCCTGTTCAAAGTTCTTATTTTCCAGCCATACCCTTCCTCCATAAATAACCTACTTCATGTCTTCTCCCCAAACTCTTTATATCTATACCCAATAATCAATTGGCATCCTGTGCCCAATGACCATATTTAAACCAACAGAACGGTCCTGGAAGTCCAGCTACAAATGTATGTGTCCACCTGTCTGTCTGACCATCTATCAATCTTTTGCAGATTTGTTGTTTCCTGCAAATTGTCTGGTTTTTCCTCTGTATGTGTAGGAAAACATAACTAGACAAAAACAATGGCCAGGTTCAAATGTAAAAATAAGTCAGCTTGCAACCAGCTCAATCCTGATTTGTTCTTATAATCAAAACGCATATTTCTAACAAACCATGGTTTACAATCCAGACCGCAATTATTTATTTTATTATTTCAAACATTTATATCCCGTCCTTCTCAACCTCACGAGGGGGGAGTCAGGGTGGCTTATTTATTTATTTATTTATTTATTTATTTATTTATTTATTATTTATTTACTCTATTTGTATACCGCATATATCAGCCTGAGGCGGCGACTCAATGCGGTTTACAATAAAAAGCAACACTAAACAATGTATGAGACACACAATACAGACAAACACATAATCATCAACGCCACACTTAGAATCAGTATGGCTTACAACTGGCAGCCATTAGATGCCAACAACGACAAACAGTCACAATACAAAGCAAATTAACATTAAATAGACAATTAATTATAAATATACATTAAAATATCAGAACTTTAAAATACTAAAACATATTAAATTAGAAGCCATAAATAGCCGAAGGATTATTGAGCCTTGCTTTTTAATAGTATGATTTCTTATGTTTGAATCTAGAAACTGTCTCATTTCTGCAGGTCCCATCTACACAGGCTTTATAATCCACATTGAAGTAGATTAGTGGTACTCAAGTTTTCCCTATTTAATGCTGCACCCCCTGGATTATGGACATGCCACTCCCCTTATAATCTACCTCACTGGTTCTCAACCTGTGGGTCCTTGGGTGTTTTGGCCTACAACTCCCAGAAATCCCAGCCACTTTACCAGCTGTTACGATTTCTGGGAGTTGAAGGCCAAAACAACTGGGGACCCACTGGTTGAGAACCAGTGAAGTAGATTATAAGGGGAGTGGCATGCCCATAATCCAGGGGGTGCAGCATTAAATAGGGAAAACTTGTGTTTAAGAAAGTCTGGAGAAAGTTCAAGTTCAGCTGAAAAATGTGCTGCAACGGGTCCATTACAGCCCAGGCACACAGAAAACGTGAGACTTTGCGATATTTTCTCACAGTGCGCTGGTATGGATGGCACTAGCACATAACAGCATTTTAAAACCCTAGGTATTCCCACAACTACATGGGGGTGGGTATAGTCGAACATTTCCTGAAGATGTCCTGCCAATCTGGGTGGTTCCATCTTAATGCAGATGCCTTGGGAGGATTACTCTGGGGCAACAGAACTAAATTGGGACTTTCCAGAAGGTAATGGGTTTTTAAATCCCTCTTTATACTCTGGATTAAATACTTGTGTAGAAGGACCCTAAAATGCTACACTCTTTGGAACCAACACATACAGGGATCATCTGATTATTTCAGCTAAAGTATGAAGACATTAAAGAGCTGTTAGGAAAATACAGATTATTTCCCGATGCAGCCCTCCAGGTGCTTTGGAATCCCATAATCCCGAATCACTGGCCATGCCGCTTGGGACTTTTGAGAACTGGAGTTCAAAATATCTGGAGGGTAACAAGGTTGAGAAAGTCAAGCTGTGTTTTCAAAAATCCAGTAAGGAGAAACAATAGCATAGGATGAAAAGCCACTGAAAGATGTCCAAGGCTTGGTGCCCATATCCTATGGGCACCAAGCCCATAGGATATGGGCACCATAGGATATGGGCACTATGTAAAAAAAAAAAAAAAGGATTTCGCTTAATGCAAACATTACATATTTTTATAGCATGAAAATGTTCCCTTCAGTTTTTAACACTCTCTACACTCCAAAAGAAAGGATATTAAAAATATTTTGCACCTTTACATTTCTAAATACGAATAAGACCTGCTGAACTTAGTGCATTTTAAAATGTATGCATGTTTACCCACAGTGCAGTAATTACAGCAGGATATTTAGGGTGACCTCTTGTGGGTACTTCTATAGAAACATGCAGATATTTATAATAAAGGAATGGAAAGTATAAATTTGCAGAGAGGTGTTTGGAGATTTATAAAGAGAGAGATCATGCATGTAAGGGTCAACATCAAAAGGAATTCTCTCTTAAGCAACCTCCTATACCTCTCAGGTACTTATATCTCAGAAGAAAGAGTAATTGTCGAAGGCTTTCATGGCCGGAATCACTGGGTTGTTGTAGTTTTTTTCGGGCTATATGGCCATGTTCTAGAGGCATTCTCTCCTGACGTCTCGCCTGCATCTATGGCAAGCATCCTCGGAGGTAGTGAGGTCTGTTGGAACTAGGAAAATGGGTTTATATATATCTGTGGAATGACCAGGGTAGGACAAAGAACTCTTGTAATTTTAGAGTTTTTTAATACTGGTAGCCAGATTTTGTTCATTTTCATGGTTTCCTCCTTTCTGTTGAAACTGTCCACATGCTTGTGGATTTCAATGGCTTCTCTGTGTAGTCTGACATATGTATATATATGTGGCATCTAATTGTTGCCAGTCTGTAGGCCGCCCTGAGTCGCCTTCGGGCTGAAAAGGGCGAGATAAAAGTGACATAAATAAATGAATAAATAAATAAACCATAAATGAATTTCCCGTTTAGAGTTGGGCCCTTCATCCAAGATATCTAATTATGCATATATTTATAGATGCAAATATTTCAAAATCTGAAAAAAATCCAAAACATTTCTGGTCCCAAGAATTTCTGATAAAGGAATATTCAGTCTGCACTCAATTTAGATATACAGTACTTTCAAATACTGATAGCCATATTCACAGGTCACATATTTACATGTGTACTTAGGGCTTAATCTAGCTGTTAACTTCCAAGCAGAGAAGACCCTCTGAATCAATGAAACCTATATAAATGTCTGCTTGATAAATGATAGCATTCTTATGACAGAATTCTTATTAATTCAACAGCTCTACTCCAGTTGCAATTTGGGATTAACGTTTGGATTCTGGACTTGAAAACATAGTGTCTGACATTCTGTTAGTGAATTATGATGTCCTAGTTCTTTGCAATTCACTTTCTCTGGTAACTCTGGAGTTCAGAATTCTGACCATACAATTACTAAGATACCCCAAAACTCGTTTTGAGAGCAGGACATGCCCCCAATGTAGTTATTTCTACATAGCCAGAGATCAGAATGGCGCTGGGGAAATGGATATAGATATCACCTGCAGAGACACCCCCCCCCCCCCAAATGATGCATGGAGCTCTCTATGGATACTTGCCATAGTGGGTTCAGCTGCAGGATACATTCCCATTATCTAACAACACAGAAATGGCCACATTGGGGCGTGCTCTGCTTACAAGGTGTGTTTTTGGGGATAGCATCAGATGTAGATATGAAGAGACATGTACATCTCCCCATACAGGATCTCAGGTCTGTGTGATTCAGCCTAGGAAAGGGTGGTTCTATGCTAAAATTACCACACACTGAAATAATATAAAGGAAAAATAAAATGACAAGAAGACACCAGGATAGCTCTCTTGAATTAGTAACCTTGGAAACAGCCAGAGAACCCACGCTAGTAAGAGCAAGGCAATGAAAAATTCAAGCACTCTCTCTTTCAGTCTCTCACGCATATACATTAGTAATTCTCCACTCGAGTTCAAACAGTATGTGCTAGTGTGTGTGTGTGTGCATGCATTCATGGCAATTGCATACAGGCAGCTGTCAAATACAAGCATGCAGATCTGACAGCTTCATATGTATGTGTGCCACTTTCATTTCACCTGATCACTACTTTGCTTCCTATGCCTCTAGAATAAAAAAAGAGAAAACAATAAGGCAAGTGCTAAGAACTAACAATAGAAGCCAAAAAAAGGGGGGTAAATAATCTGGAATTATTTCATTACATGTGAGCAACAGAATAAGCACAGATGAGATCAAGCACTCATCTGGAAGCAACTCATGAGCTACTACCTGCCAACTCAGGCTCTCTTTCATATTACAAAGCTATAGAACTATGATTCCCTCTAACTGCCATGGAGTCTTCCTATTTCATATTGGAATTTGTGGTTTGTAGACACACCAAAGCCTCCAAGTGCTGCTCTCAAAACAGTCAGCCTCAAGAATCCATGGGACATTGCCATGGGAGCTAAAGGTCTCATCTTTGAAAATAAAATATGACATGTACTAGGTTTTTGATTGTAAAGATGTATAGATATATGCCAAATATGCTTGGTAGTGTATGTGACTATCCCTTCTTCAGCCTCTCATGTTGTTATAAGATGCTGCTCTGGGAAAACTTAAGAGCAGCCATAAACAACTGTGAACGGAAACGGGCTGGAAACCCCCAAATGTGGGATCTCAAAGACAACCCTTTGGGTTTATCCACCAGAACATGTTTTAACATTCAGGAGACTCCTGGTCCAACATTTAAAGCACTACACCAAGCATGGGTAAACTTTGGCCCTCCAGGTGTTTTGGACTTCAACTCTGGCTGTTAGGAATTGTGGGCGTTGAAGTCCAAAAAACCTGGAGGGTGAAGTTTGCCCATACCTGCACTACACCATGCTAGCTTTAAAATTTGGTTTTAGATCCACATTATCCATCAGTCGTGTTAGCATGAGATTAATGAACTCATTGAATCCCATCCTTATGTGCCTGAAGGTAAACGTAGACAAAGTTTCACCTGTTTCATCTCACTCTTCAGCCTCGTGATGCCACATCTTTCTGTTTTCGTTGCTCCTGTGTGGCCCACTTCATGGATAGAAATAGCTGGACTTGATGTAGTGGAATCAAGGAGACGCACTTGGGAAGAATAGGGGAGGGAGGAAACGACAAGAAGCCTGTTTAATAAAAAAGTAATCCCTTTTACCAATTTAAAATTTAAAATAATAGCTAATGCTTTAAAAAGTATATTACTGCTCCTTTCGACTCCAAACTCTTTCCCGCTGAGAATATGGTGGAGGAGATTTTTCATATCAAAGGGGCTTAGATTCATTAAACTTTCAGAGGCTTCTTCACCTGCATAAGAAGTGGGGGGGGGGGGGACAGGAAAAGCCTAACTTGCAAATGCAACTGCCTTAAACATGAGAACATACTGTCAAAATCCTGGATCATTCTACCTGAATGAATCGCTCACTCACTACACAAATGGCAAGATTTGCCTTCAGCCTTAACTGCTTAATTAAAAATAAATGGCTGATGTGATCTTTTTCAGTAGCTTTTTCCTTTGACTATTCCAGCAAAGGATCACCGCCTTGTCGGGGTGCTGGAGCTTGAGCACCTCAATGATGTCATGAGCGAAAC